GAAGAAGAAGAAGAAGAAGAAGAAGAAGAAGAAGAAGAAGAAGAAGAAGAAGAAGAAGAAGACTTTCCCTTCCAAATTATATCCATGGAGATCATTAATTGCCAAGAAAGCAATGTCATCTGATCTGCAGGGACCCAGGGACCCCTAGCCCCCATGTATCAGAAACCAGCTTGGAAGGAAGTCCCTGGAAATCACCTGCTGATGATTTCCCTCCTACAAGCCATCTCTTCATTTCCACATTCTCTGCAAGAACTTCCCCCCCCCTGCAGAAGTTTGAAATGAGCCTGTGTGTGTAACGTGCATGTGCCGTAAGAGTTTAGGAGAACTTGCCATGCTTAAGTTTCGGGGCAATTGCAACCGGTGGGCAGCAGCAGTTTACGATCCCCTAAACAGCCACAGAGAGCAAAGTCAGATCTAGCTATCTAGGAACCCAGGCAGTTTCAAGAGGTACTCACCCCAAAGCCAGAGAGCAGGAAGCATCAGCAGGGCCACCCCAAAGTCCATGGCAAGCTGGAAGGGCCACCAGTTTCAGTCTCCAACTGGAAGCAACGTCAAGGCGGGATCCTGGCCCCCATCCCCAGCCCAGAAGACCACCCCACTCCTGCTGGTCAGGGATGCTGAAACCACGCTGCACTAGCAAGCTGGACAAACTCACCGTCCACTCGGCCACCCTGCTGTACCGAAAGAAAAACTCGGTCTGGATCACGTGGACTGGAGGGGCAGAAGGGAGTCGCATTGCCCAGCTCAGCTCGTAAGACTCACTGCCTTAACTTAAAAAAAAAAAGATTGCGTTTTTCTCAGTTGTCTGAGAGGCAAAGAAAGTAACAAGGGGAGGGGGGATTTTCAAGGCTACATCTCCGAGCAGAGCCCAGCTGGGGGCTTCTGAGAGGGAGAAAGACAGACAGACGTCAACTGGAAGCTCGCCATTGCATGATGGCAAAGTTAAGCATCTTTTGACTTCGTAGTTTGGTCCAGGCACATCAGCGGGAGCCAAACGTCCAGGGTTGTTACCAATATTGAAATGCATTTTAGGCAAATCAACACCTTTTTTTAAATAGACAACTGAGAATATTTTTATAGTATACCTCAGTTATTCTCAAGAACTTTGGAATAAAGAGCTAAATTCACCAGTGGTTAAGGATCGTTAGGAATATTAGGGATGTCTCCTGATTCTAAAATGAGATTAATTCAGGAAAAAATATTTCACGTTTATTGGAGAATGTTTCAAAAGGATCGATGATCAATTTCTTCATCCTGGAAGCATCAAATGATGGAGAAATCTCAAGGAACAAAACATAAAAGAAATTTGGTACGTGTTTCATTGAAAGTAATTTCTTCCGCTGTTCACGACTGTTGGGCTTCAAGCCTGTGATAAAAAGAAAGAAACAAGAAGATAAAGAACACCGGTGCAGAATATTGTATACGAATGAAAGTTGGAGCACTTGGGATATTTGACTGGAAGCAAAATGTAAGCTCTTCTAAAGCAGTGGAGCAAAATTCCCAGGGCTTCTAGCTCCACGTAGAAACATTTTGGAACACGTTGTCTATCCTTCAGCCTGGCTCCCCAGTCCCTTACTCCACAGCAACTCTGAGCTTGTCTCAGTTTACGTAAGTATGACTTTTTGAGCAACTCTCTGGGGTGAGATATCTTGTGGTGACCAGGAGGCAAGGCGATCAAACGCAGCAGCATCTAAGGGCAACCGTCTCTCCTAGATAAAATCCATTCCACATTTTCCAATGATCAGAAGGAGACTAACAGGGATGGGGGGGGGGGTACAGAAGCAGTGGGGGCAGACTGATGGATGAAGAGGGTGAAAATAAAATCCCAAAGCGTGACAGGAGCCAGGACTGCCCACCCACACCTCAGCAAAGGTTCAGAGGGATTGGTGGCCCACGTGCTCATCCTCCTGGGGACAGAGACACCAAGCCCCAGATGAAGCCTCCAGAGCTGCTCCACTATAGCTTTTCTCCCAGTTTTGGGATTCTCTCTCCAGGATAAATCAGCACCCACTTCTGTAAACCCACTCAAGGGATTGACATGCGTTAATGTAGTAATCCAGGCAACAACCTGGAAAATTGGTGAGGACCATTATGCTTTTAGCCTGCTTGGAGAGCAAAGAGCGCTGCGTCTTGGTGATTCCAGATGTATATTTTTGGGAGCAGGCCCAGGAACTCCTTCAGTGCCCATTCAGACAGTATTCCCATCGCTGTTTTGGAGGGAGGAGGAAATCCAGCAACTGGAGGTAGAAGATGACACTTCTGTAGGCACAACCACCGGGTTGAAGAATGCATGGTGGAATGCCATTGTGGACAACATGCAGGCATGTTGAGGATGGCTGATTTATGGAATCAATTTCCTTTTGATGTTTCAGACTGTTCCCCTCTGGCATTTACGGTGATCCTGTCTGGCACCTGGTGCCCCGAGCTGCTTGGAAGGCAGAGTCGGGGGCCTCACACAGATAACGGGGGTGAGATAAGCAAGGAGGGCTCTTGCAGATAAACCATGTTAACAGCTCATCTGATGGCTAAACAGGAGTTTTTGAATGGCATCTCCAAGCAGATATCCTGCCTTTGTATTTTAAGCCCTGACAGCAGGCAAAGGCATCTTTGCCATTCCTCGTTTGTCCAGAAAACTGGTGATCCATATATGGGGATAGATTCTCAGAGATCGATCGTCTTTAACATGACCATTTTTAGTTATCTGCAGTGGGGTTTTCTGTTTTCCTATATGCTTGTTTCAGACTTTGAAAATTAGCTAAACAAAAGCTAATAAGTCAAACTTCTTTCACCTGGTCATTCAGGGAAAACCTGAGTGTGAGTCTCTATTTATTCTTCCCCCTCAGCTGTTTCTCCACTAGTACATTTTACTGCAGCTAACTTCCAGTTGGGCGTACATTATTTGGGAAACTTTCCGAAGCATCCAGCTGTTGTCCTTGCACATCTTGATCCTGAGATTCTGGGCCTCCAAATGGTACTTAATTCTAACTTCCACCAGAGCTGGTCAGCAGAGATTATGGGCCACATCTTGTCCCCCTCTGCTACAGAACCTAAGAAGATTGATCTCAGAGCAGGGGCATGTCAAAAAGTCAAGATCGTGGCCACGGCTGTGTGATCCATGCCCTGCCTCTCTTTCATCTGGGTCAATGCATGGGCGAAGGAGCAGGGGTTGGATCGCACCGTGGTGGCCACGGTCTTGCCTTTCTTTAACCACGCCCTGGGTGGATGGTTTGCATATTTATTAAGACAGGGCCGGGAGGTGGGATTCCCCAAAGATGGTTGGAGAGCCACCGGAAAAGAGAGAGAAAGGGGATTACGCCAGGCTTTGGGGACGGCTAGCTGTTTCAAAGCCTCCCAGGTGCCGAAACTAATGAGTCTTGCACAGGTCAAGCCATCTGCTCTCCTTATTAGAGCATTAACAGTCAGGTCTGCTTTAATCCCGCTGCCCAGCGCACTGCCGGCTTTTCAGCGGTGGGAATAGTAAGGGCCTAATGGCACTTTGCCAGTCCACCATCTCCGGCCCGTTAGTCAGCCCAGCAGAACCCCATATGGTGAATTAACCAGCTTAGTCCAATTAAGGGACCTCGACGCAGGATATTAAGGGCTCAAATTGGCTGACCTTGGCTGTGCGTGGAGAGTTTATGCAGCCTGAGCGCAAACCCTGAGTCGTCCATGCTCAAACATCTCTGGACAGGTCTTGCTTTGCACCACCTCCATATCCCTAATTAGAGGCACGAGGACACAGCTGTCCCCCGGCGTAACCCTTGTTACGGTGCACGTCCCTGCTACCTTTCCTTAGTCTTCTCCAAAGGCATGGAAACAAAATTTGGGTAACTTGACTGAAATAGAGGAAATGCTGTTGGGCTGAAAATAGGGTCCTGCATTCGGCCCACCAGGAGGGTCAGGTTTAAAGGAAGCCCTGGCTGGGATGTTATAGCACTATTTGAGGTTCTCTGATGTGGAGCTGACTTTAAAAATTCCAGGTTGGGCTCTGTTGGAATCAGCGTTTCTATAACAAGTGGAGGCAGGAAACCTGTAAGAATGCAATGACTCCAGGCATTTGCTGCTCTTGCTGTTTCCATATCAGCAAAACATAGCTTGTAATTTGACTTCTGATTCATACACCCTAGGTAACATCCTGCTCCATGCAAGGGGGTTGTTAACCAGATCCTGGTTAATTTTCTTCTCCCAGATCAGGCAGGTTCTTCCTCCCCAGCATTTTCATTTTGTCGTGGCCCCTTTCACAGCATCTGCAAACTCCTGCAAGTTCTCTCTTTGGCTGATTTTTTCCTGAACAAATTGTCTGAAGCGCAATAATAAATGAATAATTACTGAGTTATCAGTGCATGTTATCCTGTCTCGTGTTTTCTTGTTTTTACACTTGACGTTCTAAAGCATGCTTTTGTTGTTATGCAGATGGAAAAAACCTAGCACATCAGTCAGATGCTGCCTTCTGCAGGAATTACCTAAGACTAATTACCTAATTACCCAAGACTAATTAGTAATTACCTAACTAAAAACTAAATACTACACACAGCTTTCATACACCACCTGGTGGTACAAAATGCATATGAATTTAAGGAGAACCGTCTGTTAAATCAGGTCAAAAGTCCCATTTGGGGCAGCATCTTTGTTCCTAACAAGATGTCTCTGAGAAAATAAAACCAGGAAGAGGATTCCTCTTTTGTTCTCAGATATTCAAAGGAACATCTCCTCCACCCCCCCCTCAAATTCATACAGTCCTTTTAAAGAGATTTCAACCTTACTAGGTAATTTTTAAATATCAATCTGTTTTTCACTAATTGTTGTCATGCCCTCTCTTACTGATTCTTCTCCTGAATGCTCAAAGTGGAAGACTGTTGGAGGCTAATGAAGAAGACTCTAGCAAAACTGTTTTGGGGCAATGCTCTGGAAGGACCCTTGTGAGGAGGGCAGGGGGTCCTCTATCTCATGCAGAAAGAGGATCTGAGTCCCAGGAAATGCCAATATCAGAGAATGCAACCTAAGGAATTCAGAGATGCCATTTAAGGGGTTGATTTTTGGAGATAAAAAGGCTACTCAAGAGTAACCGCTCTTCTTGAGTGTAAGAACCTCATGAACAGTGAGAATTAAGTTCAGCTGGTTTCTGGATGGGGATTGGGGTCTGCAGGGCAGGGTGCAAGACTCACACCTTTTGGAATCTGAAGCCAGTTCTCGGGTCAGTGCGCTGCAGAGTCTCTGGGCTTTTTCTTGATGGCGTTTGTGTCCTTGCTGGACTTCGGCCTCGGTTTGGCTGAAGACTCTGCTGGCTGCCTCATTCAGGTAGGTCCTTTGGTGGTGCTGTGTTTTGCCGTGTGACATTGCTAGCTGGGTCTGACCTGGTCCTAAATGTGTCTGATGCTGGTTTTTTAGCTTGACACGCTGGCTTGTTTTTATACGAAGGATTGCTGCTTTGAGAGGCTCCTGCAAGGAGGAGCAATATCTGTTCTGAAACAAGATGTCACCGTGCAGTTGTTCTACCTACTTTC